CTCCTGAGTAGCTGAGATTACAGGCACGCGCCACCATGCCCAGCTAATGTTTTGTATTTTTAGTAGAGACGGGGTTTCACCATGCTGACCAGGATGGTCTCAATCTCTTGACCTCGTGATCCACCCGCCTCGGCCTCCCAAAGTGCTGGGATTACAGGCGTGAGCCACCGCGCCCGGCCCTACTTCATAACATTTTTATTATCCCTCAACAACAACCAAAAGAACCACCTTGTACCCATTGGACTATTCTGAACATTTCATATTAATAGAATCATACAATATGTGGTCTTTTGTGACCAGCTTCTTTCAACTTAGCATGTTTTCAAGTTTTAACCGTGTTTTAGCACGTATCGGTATCAGACCTTCATTCTTTTTAGTTGCTGAATAGTATTCTATTGTATGGGTATACCACATATTTTATCCATTCATCAGTTGATGGACATCTGTGTTGTTTCCTGCGAAATATATATTTGATTTTCATCCTTGGCATGGTTTCTGGGCATACAGCTCCTAAAATCTTTGGACTCTCCAAAATGATCAGTGTCTGTTTGTATGCTAATGAGTTGACTGATTGCTAGCAGACCCTAGGTAGCTTCAGGTTGGGGGCTGGTCACTGGAAAGACCTAGCCTTGATTAGAGAGTTGGGACTTTCAGCTCCACCCCCAGCCTTCAGTGAGAGGAGGGGGCTGAAGGTTGAATTGATTAGCTGCCAGTGATTTAATCACTTGTGCCCAAGTAATGTCGCTGCCATGAAAACCTAGAAGGACTGGGTTCTAGGAACTTCCTGGATTACATGGGAGGTTCCTGGAGGGTGGTGTGCCCCTAGAGGGTGTGGAAGCTCTCAGCCCCTTTCCCCATACCTTACCCTGTGCATCTCTCCATCTGTATATTTTTTTTTTTTTTTTTTTTTTTTGAGACGGGGTTTCACCATGTTGGCCAGGCTAGTCTTGAATTCCTGACCTCAGGTGATCCGCCCGCCTCGACCTCCCATAGAGCTGGGATTACAGGCGTGAGCCACCATACCTGACCTCCATCTGTATACTTTGTAATACTGTTTATAATAAACTGGTAAACTTGTTTCTCTGAGTTCTGTAAGCCACTCTAGCAAATTAATCAAACCCAAGGAGCGGTTTATGGGAACACAAATTCATGGTTGGTGGGAAGCACAGTTACAGTCACCTGGAGCTTGCAATTCGCATCAGAAGTAGAGGGCAGTCTTGTGGGATCCGACTGTCTCCCAGGTAGATAGTGTTGGAATTGAGTTGGAGGACACCCACCTGTATCTGCCGCAGAACTGATTGCTTGTTTGATGTGTGGTCACTTAAGTAGTCTGCATTGATTGCTAATCGAAAGAATAGGAAAAACACTCTGGCTTGTTTATTTTTGTCTCTCTATTACTGGATTTCTACTTTTTGGCTAATGTGAATGATAGTTCTGTGAATATTTGCATAGAAGTCTTTGGGTAGACATGTTTTAATTTCTGTTGGCATATAGGTAGGAGTGAAATTGTTAGATAATGTGGTAACTAACATTTTGAAGATTTACCTTTTCCTTATGGCTAATGCTGATGAGTGTCGTTTTATATAGCTTATTGGCTATTTGCATGTTAAAAAATCACTTATCCTTTTTTTTTTTTTTTTTTTTGAGACAAGGTCTTGCTCTGTCGCCCAGGCTGAAATGCAGTGTGTCATGATTATAGCTCATGGCAGCTTCGAACTCCTGGGCTCAAGAGATCATCTCACCTCAGCCTCCCAAGTAGCTGGCACTATAAGCATGCACCACCACACCTGGCTAATTTTTTAAATTTTTGTAGAGACAGCGGTCTTGGCTTTGTTGCCTAGGCTGTTCTGAAACTTCTGGCTTCCGGGAATCTACCCACCTTGGCCTCTCAAAGTGTTGGGATTACAGGCATGTGCCACTATCTTACTGGCTATTTGTATATCTTCTTTAGAGGAAAGTTCACTTAAATCCTTTGTCCTTGCTCTTTTCTCAAAAAAGAAATGCTGTATTTTTTCCGTTTTTAACTTACCTAATGCCTTAGGGTTTGTGTCCATGTTCATGGTGAGATTGGCCTGTAATTTTCCTTTTTTGTATCAAACCTTGATGAGTTTTATTCTCAAGATTATTGTAGTCTAATAAAATAAGCTGTAGTATTTCCTCATTTTTGTTCTCTTGAGAGTTTATGTAAAAGGAAATTACCTGTTACTTGAAGGTTTGGTAAGCCTTGCCTGTAAGACCATGGGGGCCTGGTGTTTTCTGTCTCAGATTTTTAAATTACTTATTTGGATGTTTTAATATTTATAGGATAATTAAAGTCTTTGTTTTTTCCCTGAGTCACATTTGGTAGTATATGTTTTAAAAAATGGTTTATTCTTGTCTGTATTTTCAAATATATTGGCATGAAATTCTGACTCATATCTTGTGAAACTATCATATTTGTAATTAATCTCTAATATTTAACTTCTTTTTTTTTTTTTTTTTGTTGAGACGGAGTCTCATCCAGGCTGGAGTGCAGTGGTGCAATCTCAGTTCACTACAACCTCTGCCTCCCGGGTTCAAGCGATTCTCCTGCCTCAGCCTCTCAAGTAGCTGGGATTACAGGCATGCGCCACCATGCCCGCCTAATTTTTTGTATTTTTAGTAGAGATGGGGTTTCTCCATGTTGGTCAGGCTGGTCTTGAACTCCCAACCTCAGATAATCCACCCGCCTTGGCCTCCCTAAGTGCTGGGATTACAGGCGGGAGCCACTGTGCCTGGCAATTTTTTTTTTTTTTTAATTAGCTGAGTGTGGTGGTTTATACCCATAGTCCCAGCTACTCAGGAGGCTGAGTTGAGGTGGGAGGATTACTTGAGCCTAGGAGTTTGAGGCTGCAGTGAGCTATGATTGCACCATGGTACTCCAGCCTGGGTTAGACCCTGTTTCTTTAAAAAAAAAAAAAAAAAAAAAAAAAAAACTTTAATAAAATGTGGTCTAATGTGAGTTGGATCCTTTGAAATTTGTTAAGGCTAACGTTAGTTTGTACAGATTTTCATCACTATTCCATGTGTAATTTAAAAAAATGTGTATTTCCAAATTTAAAGTGAAGCTTTTCCATGTCAGTTCAAACTAGTGTCTTTAATTTTTCTGTTTGTTCTGTTAGCTGGTGGGGTTAGGAGTGGGTGTTAGAACACAACACTGGGTGTCCCTGACTTGCAATAGTTTGACTTAGGATTTTTCCACTTTATGGTAGATTTTTTAGGACATAACCCCATTGAGGAGCATTTGGACTTCATGATGGCTCAATTTATGCTTTTTCAACTCTGATGAGTTTATCTGGGTATTAAATTCATTTTCATCCAGGTGCAGTGGCTTATGCCTGTTATCCCAACACTTTGGGAGTCTGAGGTGGGAGAATCGATCACTTGAGTCCAGGAGTTCGAGACCAGCCTGTGCAACATAGGGAGACCCCATCTTTACAAAAAATAAAAAAATTAGCTGGGTATGGCAGCATGTGTCTGGAGTCCCAACTGCTCAGGAGACTGAGGTGGGAAGATCTGCATGAGCCCAAGAGGTCGAGGCTGCAGTGAGTTGTGATTATGCCACTACACTTCAGCCTGAGGGATAGGCGGAGACATCTTAAAAAAAAAAAAAAAAAAAAAGGAAAAGGGGAAAAAATATATATATAAAATTTTCAACTTACAATCGATTTATTGGGACATAACCAACCCCATGGTAAATTCAGGAGCATCTTTACCTTCTATGATGGGAAATTTGTCAGATTCTGTAGTCCCAGATTTAGCTTTGCATTTGTAACTTTAGATTTTGTGTGTGTGTGTGTGTGTGTGTGTAGAGACAGGCTCACTATGTTGCCCAGGCTGTCTTTTTTTTTTTTTTGGAGACAGAGTTTTGCTCTGTTGCCCAGGCTGGAGTGCAGTGGCACGATCTCGACTCACTGCAACCTTCGCCTTCTGATTTCAAGTGATCTCTTGCCTCAGCCTCCCGATTGGCTGGGATTACAGGCGTCCATCACCATGCCAGCGAATTTATTTTTTTTTTTTTTTTTTTGCATGCACAGGACACTGAGAGTGGATGGAAACAACTCACCCTTTTATCAGAAGGCCACTCCCTGAATAACCCAGTCTACTCTCCAGATACCAACATTAATCCATTCATGAGGGCAGAGGCCTCATGACCTAATCAACGCTTTTTTTTTTTTTTTTTTGTATTTTTATGCGAATTTTTGTATTTTTAGTAGAGATGGGGTTTCACCATGTTGGCCAGGTTGGTCTTGAACTCCTGACCTCAAGTGATCTGCTCACCTCAGCCTCCCAAAGTGCTGGGATGACAGGTGTCAGCCACCGGGCTGGGCCCAGGCTGGTCATTAACTTCTGTGCTCAAACAGTCCTGCCATCATGCCCAACCAAGTTAAGAATTTTAAACTTGGTTGTGACTTTGTACAATTTGTCATTCTGTAGATCTTTGTTTCGATGAATATTTTCCACTAAAGTATATATATAGGCTGAAAACTTAAGTATCTTTTGTCAAGGTGTTATGTAACTATGACAAGTGACTTTTGGTTATTTTTTGCCTCATATGTCTTTTTCTGCCCTTTTCCTTTCAAGCTTTTTTGTGGCCTTAATGTTTTACGTATGCCTTTTAAAAGCCTCACAAAGCTAGATTATGGTTTATAATTTGACTCTAAACTGATGAGTTAGTTCCCTTATGGTAATTGTGATGAAAATATTTGTTTTATTTCTACTGTGTATTTTGGACTTTCTAACTTGGTCCCCCCCATATTCTTTACTTGCTTTATGTATTGTGGATTTTTTTCTTTATTCCTATTTACCCCTGTATGTACATCAAGTGATATAGAAATTATACATTTCTTTTTGTTGGTAGTCTTAGACATTTCCTATTTAACTTAGAACCTAAAAGGTAATTAATATCTTTACCCTGATAAGAACCATAGACTACTTCACTTTATGCCCATTGCAATTTATATTCTATTGTCTAATTTTCATTTTGTTGCTCCTGAAATCTCACAAATTAGGCATTATTATTACCAGTCTACTATCCCTTATGCAAATAATTGGAACCAGAAGTGTTTTGGATTTTAGATTTTTCCAGATTTTAGGATATTTGTATATACATAAGGAAGTATTTTGAGGATCTGACACAGGTCTAAACACAAAATTCAATTTTGTATACACCTTATACACATGATCTGAAGGTAATTTTTTTTTTTTTTTGAGACGGAATCTTGCTCTGTCACCCGGCTAGAGTGCAGTGGCATGATCTTGGCTCACTGCAGCCTCAGCCTCCCAGTTTCAAGTGATTCTCCTGCCTCGGCCCCCCCAAGTAGCAGGACCACAGGCGTGTGCCACCAGACCCAGCTAATTAATTTTTGTATTTTTTGTGTAGACAGGGTTTCACCATGTTGGCCAGGATGGTCTCAATCTCATGACTTTGTGATCTGTGGCCTTGGCCTCCCAAAGTGCTGGGATTACGGGGGTGCACCACTGCACCCGGCCAACTTTTTTTTTTTTTTGAGACAGAGCCTTGCTCTGTCGCTCAGGCTGGAGTGAAGTGGTGCAATCTTGGCTCACTGCAACCTCCGCCTCCCAGGTTCAAGCAGTTCTCCTGCCTCAGCCTCCTGCGTAATTCGGACTGCAGGTGCATGCCACCATGCCCAGTTAATTTTTGTATTTTTAGTAATTATGGGGTTTCACTGTGTTGGCCAGGATGGTCTCAATCTCCTGACCTCATGATCTTTCCACCTTGGCCTCCCAAAGTGCTGGGATTACAAGTGTGAGCCACTGTGCCTGGCTAGTCTGAAGGAAATTTATACAATATTTGAAATTTCGTATGTGAAACAAGTTTGTATACATTGTAGTCTGTCACGTGAGGTCAAAGGTGGAATTTTTTACTTGTGTTAAAAAATTTTGGATTTTGGAGCATTTCTGATTTTTGGATTTTTCGATTAGGGACGCTCAGCCTATATTTTTATGTTGTCATTGTTAAAAGGTTATTTTGCCTAATACCCAGTTCTGGCTCCATGATCTTTTCCCTTAGCACTTTGACAGCACCTCCCATCTTCTTTTTCCATTGTTGGTATTGAGAGTGATTAGAAGTTAGAAGGCAGTTGTTCCTCTGCAGGTAATCTCTAGCGTCTGAACACTTTCTTCCATTTTTTAAAGTCTTTTTTTCCCCTTATTCTTCAATTTCACTAAGAATTATTTATGTAGAGTTCTTCTTGTCCTTTTTCTGAGGGTTGGTTTCTTTCTTTCTTTTTTTCTTGTGACAGAGTCTCGCTCTATCACCCAGGCTGGAGTGTGTGGTGCTGTCCTACCTCACTGCAGCCTCGGACACCTGGACTCAAGTGATACTCCCACCTCAGCCTTCTGAGTAGCTGGGACTATAGGTGCAAGCCACCATGCCTGGCCAATTTTTGTATTTTTTATGGAGAGGGTCTTACTATGTTGACCAGGCTGGTCTCCTAGGCTCAGGTGATTCTGCTGCCTTGACCTCCCAAAGTGCTGGGATTACAGGTGTGAGTTATTGCACCTGGCCTGGTATATTTCTTCAACTAAAAGAAAAATTCTCAGCCATTTTTGCTTTGATATGTCTCACCTGCTTTTTCAGTTATCTCTTTCTGGTACTCTGTTTAGATCTTATATTTAGTATATTTTCTATAATGTGTTGTTTTGGCTATATTGACCATATATTCTGTAGGTAATACCAGTGGTTGCATGCTTTTCTGGTCTGATCTTTTGATGTTTCTTTCTGAAAGTTTATTTCTTGTTGTGTTTGCTGGTTTTGATTTTCTGGTAACCAATCTTTGTCTGCCATGCTCTAGTTTAACGATGGCCAAATGCCCTCAGTACATTTGTAGTCAGTGTTCAACAAATATTTACTGAGCTCTTCTGTACCAGATACTGTCTGGGCACTTGGTATTTACCAAAGAACAGAATAGACAATATTCTGTACCTTGGTAGAACTTGGCTTCTTATGAAACAAGCTTCTAGGGTAGGGATGGAGGTAGCCGTGAGAATTTTCTTGTTTTTATCAGCATAGCTTTTCATTTAAAGAGATGCTTTAATACCGTGTCCAGGATTTTTACATATTCTGGGCGTAAAGTGCTCCTCATGTTGGCTAGTCCAACAGATGTTTTGTTTTCTTTTATTTTTAGGTAGCTGGTATTATCTGCTATTTTCGATTATTCTTTTGGTGTCTTGATACATCCAAATAACTAAGCACCAGATACGTGTTTTGAATAAGCATCAGCTAGGATGCAAAATATTTTAAAAATTACAACAGGGGATTTTCATTTTGTTAAGAGTTAGCAAATAGGATTTTTCCCCCTCCTTCAATATGGAGTGTTCTTGTGTCAATTTCAGGAATTTCTTAGAGATTTTCAACTCTTTTACATTAGTTAGCTCATTTTTTATATCCAGAAATGGGAAAGATTTCAAGGATAATTACCATTTTGAAATGGGATCATTTGGTTGCTAGAAAATGTTAACATTGACTCCAGCCAAGTACTGAACACTAAAGACAATCTGGAAGAAGGGATATGGATCAAAATAGATCACGAGCCAAATCTGTCTTGAGGAAAGAAGAGAGTAGAGTTCAGCATTTATAATACACGGCCTATCTCAAGAGAGGGGAGGGACTATTTTATACATTAAAAAGAATTAAAAGCCTGCCTTACTTTGGCCAATAAATTAAAAAGAGGCAGTCAGAAACAAGAGCCATGGAGGGACACATAGGCTGGGACTAGTGTTGGAGTTCATTTTGTGACACACTGGTAGCAGATCCTGTCAGTTCTGGTCCTGTCTCTGCCTCTGCCATGGCCTTCATTGAGGAAGGCTAGGGGCTTTGGTGGCAGCAGGAGTATACTGCTGATCCCAGAAGCACAGGGTTAATAATTAACTGCCTTGATAGTATCTTAGTAATTTTCAATGGAGCCAAGGAGTTTGAAATGCATAGGCAATGTAACTTCATCAAACTTCAAAGAGCAAAGCTTGATCATCTTTCAGGGTTATGAGGAAAGAAAGAAAGAATTGTAGAGGACATGGGTTAGAGAGAGAGAGAACTGGTTTAGCAGAATTGTTGTGAGGATTAAAGATAAACGTCACTGGGCATGTTTGTATCTATCTCCAGAAGAAAGTAGAGTCCATTCTCTTTGTTTACTATATTGTCAGGCCTAACATTTTTCAGCTCTTGTTATCTATCACCAGTGAAGTGCCTCATGGTTGGTGTAAACCTTCAGCAGCCTGTCGTGCTTATTCACCTTCCTTGCAGCAGGTAGGTGTGCCTTTTTGTTTGCTGAGTGCCTATAAAATTGTCACTTGTGCGTAATTCTTTACATGTGTTCCTTTTAACTCTTTATTCCTTCCAGATGAGTGTGAGATAGTCATCTTTAAGATGAAGCAGACCAGAAGGAGGGAGACAGTCTAGCCATAATGGTTAGGATGGGGGTTGTCAAGGTGGTCAGAACTGGGTTAGAACCTTGGTTTGATCACTGACTAGCTGTCTGACCTTGAGCAAATTATCTCCCCTTTCTAAGCTTCAGGAGTAAAATGAGAATCATTAAAATTCTCCTGGCCGGGAGTGGTGGTTCATGCCTGTATTCCCAGTACTTTGGGAGGCCTAGGTAAGCGGATCACCTGAGATCAGGAAGGAGTTCAATAGCAGCCTGGCCAACATGGTGAAACTCTGTCTCTACTAAAAAAATATAAAAATTAGCCAGACACTGTGGTGGGCACTTGTAATCCCAGCTACTCAGGAGGCTGAGGCAGGAGAATTGCTTGATTCCAGGTGGCAGAGGTTGCAGTGAGCCAAGATTGTGCCAGTGTACTCTAGCCTGGGCAACAGAGCGAGACTCCACCTCAAAAAAAAAAAAAAAAAGAGGAAAAAAATCTCCTCCCTTTTCCATAGAAAATGACTCTGGGTAATTTGAAATTGTGGAATGTTTTGTTTTTGCAAGTTTTATAGTGTAGAAGTCATAAACTTAGAATAAGTGGTTAAAAGTTAATAGTAGCTTATTTTATGGACTCTGGCTTTGGTTTTGAAGTCTTGACTATAGAGGTGTAGGATATTGTAAACATTTTTAGTCAATTGACTTTTTTCTTTTGGTTTGGGATAGCAAGTCTTAGCTTTTTAAAAAAATTTAATATGTGATTATTTTGAAAAAAAATTATAGAGAAGGCTAAAATCCATTCTGATCATCTTTTCCAAATATTTTCCATCTTCTGTTACTAGTTTTGTGTTTACTTGATTTTTTTCTGTGTATTTGTTGGGTATGTGTGTGTTATATAAATATAAGAGCACCATACTGTTGTATGGTTCTTTTTTCATTCATCGCTTTTCACTGAGTCCCATGTAGTACAAATAGGCCTACCTCTTTCTTTTTACTAGCTGCATACTGAGGGTATACTTTATAGCCATTTTCCATATTAAGGGTTTTTAGATTTTGTTATTATCACAAACAATTCAGCTGGCTTTTAGTTTGGTGTAATGAAATTCTTTGTTCTTAGAAGCCTTTAGAATTACATTGTTTTGTGTGGAAATAAAACAGTGAGTTATAAGCTGAGTTCTTTTGCTCTTTTGTCTTTGCATGTAAAGTACAAATGTTTAAGCAAAGGGAAGAAAACTTTTCTTAGAAATCTATTTTGTTTATCTCCTTTCAAAATGAGATACGACATTGCTTTTAAATTCTAAAAATGACCAATTTAGCAAATCTTTTTTAAAAATTGTGGGAAAATATGTAACATAAAATTTGCATTTTTCATCATTTAAAAAAAGTTCCCAGCAAAATTGAGCAAAAAAATATATAGCAGAGTTCCCATGTACCCCTGTCGCCACACTTTTGCAGTAACATGCCTCAGGAGAATGGTACATTTCGAGTTGATGAACCTGCACTAACGCATTATCATCAAAAGTCCATACTTTACATTAGGGTTTACTCTTGAGACTAAAACATTCTATAAGTTTTTTTTTTTGTTTGTTTTTTTTTTTGAGACAGAGTTTCACTCTGTCGCTTGGACTGGAGTGCAGTGGCATAATCTTGGCTTGCCGTAACCTTTGCCTCTTGGGTTCAAGCGGTTCTCTTGCCTCAGCTTCCTGAGTAGCTGGGATTACAGGTGCCTGGCTTCACGTCCAGCTAATTTTTGTATTTTTAGTAGACATTCACCTTCTTGGCCAGGCTGATCTTGAATTCCTGACCTTGTGATTCACGCGCCTCATTCTTCCAAAGT